GTTGTCAACTGAGATTTCAAATGATGTCTTGTTTGACATTTTAAAAGTGGGCTGAACTGTAGAGCAAAACATATAGGCATTATGTGATAAAGATGTTCTCTGTGTACAAATTGAGTGTAGATCCAAAAAAAAAAAACCTGGAAGGAAAGGTAACAGAAAAGCAAAGGTCAAAGGGGCTCAGAAATGAAGGATCCTCTTCACCATGTCTTTATGTGTCCTGCCTCCAGATTTGGTGGGGTGGGTGGAAAGGGGAAACTTGAGTGTCTACTCTGAATAGGCCTGATGCTGGGTAATATGCTTGTCTCACACACACACACCCCCATGTCCCCCATTCTACATATGGGGCAGGGAGTCACAGAAGGTAAGCACTTTGCCAGAAGGGAAACCCACTCCAGTAGTCTTGCCTGGCAAAATCCCATGGACAGAGGTGCTGGGTGGACCGCAGTCTGTGGAGCCACAGAGAGTTGAAGATGACTGAGTGACTCACACGCAACTATAAACGGATAGCAGTGCTACAATTCAGACTCAGCCTTTTCTTATTCCAAATCCTGTGTTCTCAGGAATAGATGTGATCTGTTTGCTTTTCTTGGCTGTCTCTCCCACTTCCCCCAGCAATTAAGATTATAATGAGGGCACTTTGTAAGTACAGTTGATCCTTGAATGACACAGGTTTGAACTGCACTGACCCTCAACATGCAGATTTTTTCCACAAATACGTATCTCAGTACTACACGATCTGAGCTGGTTGAATCTGCAGGTGTGGAACCACACGCACCAGTGGACCTGTCTTGGTGACTAGTGTATAGACTGCTTGGTTGAATTCAGGTGATGAGTTGCACGTGGGGCAGGCTATGTACTCGGCATGTGCATTGAGCTGGAATTTTATCTAAGCTGGATTGGAGGGGAAAGCTTCCCCACTGCCGGCGTGACAAATGATTGCTGTGGGTACAGTAGTTTCCATAGGCCATAAAGTCCCATGTGATGGGAGAGACCAGGGTCCAGAAAGCATCACAGAGATGTTCAGGCCACTTCTAAGAGACGAGAGCTTGCACTGTCCTGACTCTCTGCTCACTGACCTCCAGAGGGTTAGGAGAAGCAGGAGCAAAAGGGGCAGGAGGCAGAGAGGAGAGGAGTCCAGGAACAAAAGCCAGAGTCAGGCTGAATGAAACTGGAATGAGTTGTGAACGTGGCAGGGCAGTGGGCCCCGGCGTCTTGATTTCTGCCCACGCCGCACTGGATGGGTCGCTCAGGCTAGAGACAGAGGGTCCATCTGTACTCGAGCTCCTGGGAAGTTAGAGCCGAGAAGCGTTGTTGGGGCACGTCTCCAGGACACTCCCTGTCAGAATGAAAACCAGCTGAGGAAGGTGAAGGCTCCTGCTCAAGGGGACACACCGTTCAGACAAACACACATACAAGCCAGCAATTCCAATTCTTTTTTTTTTTTTAATTTTTTTTTAACTGAAGGATAATTGCTGTCCAGAATTTTGTTTTCTGTCACACCTCAACATGAGTCAGCCATGGGTATTCATATACCCCCTCCCTTTCGAACCTCCTCTCGTCTCCATCCCTGCTCTTTACTGAGCACTTCTTAGGTGCCAGGCACTGGGCACAGTCAGGCATGCTGCTTTCTCCAACATCAGCTCCCCCCTCCTTGAGGCCTGGCTTTTATTACTGGATTATTTTTATGTGGCTTCATCGATGACAAATCTATGGAGTTTTATGGTAGAGAAGACACCTGCAAGTCTTTGAGAGCTTTGTTTGGTCAAAAACAGCTGGGATTTAAAGCAGGAAATGGACACAGGTTACTGAAAGTATTTTCCCCCTCACTACCTTGTATTTAGAATTGCTTCGGGATTACATAATTGTGTCTTTAACGAACACATAATCCAAGAATTAGAAATAACGCAAAATGCGGAGCTTTGGGGAGAGGAGCTAGAGGAAGTGACCGGGTCCCCATGGGAGCCCTGTTTGCTTCTCTCTTTTGCCTCTGGATGAAATTTGACCTGCCTAAGGGTGAAGGGAAGACGTTGCAGGGATGCCACATTTCAAAGTGAAAGTTTGCTGGCCACTTGCTCCCAAGGACCACTCAGAGAACAGCCTGTATTCAGTAGATGGAGAGCCCTCAGCGCCCTAATCTACATCATCAGCTCATTTTGGCCATAACCACCTGCACTCCTTGGACAGGGGTTGCAGGAACTAATTGACACCAAATGCCTTCCAATGAGAGGCCAAATGGTTGGTATTTCAGTGTCTTACTTACACTTCCTATCATCTTTGCAGGGTGAGCGTTTCCACTCTCAGAGAACAGAAAACCAAAGTTGAGAGCATTTAATCCCTTTAAAGAACAAATTTATTAGAGTTTCCATTTGTTATATTTTCTTCCAGAGCTTCTGGGATCCTAAAGGCTCTGGGTGGGCTTCCAGAGCCTCCTGGGTTCCTCCCCAAATATACCACAGTCCTTTCAGAAGAGAAGACCCCTGAGACACCAGAACAACTGTACCTCCAATTCAGGGCCTAAATGCAGGAGCTTGGCCACATGCAGTAACAGAGACCTTGTTTCCTGTCAGCATGAGGGGAACATGGCTTAAGCTTTTAGAGGCTCAGTTCCCTCATCTGTAGTGGGGACACCAATTGCCATCTGCTTGTGCTGTGATAACCCAAGACATTACCAGTGTTAACTACCCAGCCCCACACAGAGTCATAGCGGGTATAAAGCCTAACTGTCCTACCCACTGATGGAAGCCAGGTGGTCATCTTCCTCGCCCCTGCTGGAAGGGTCGATGTTGGCTGAGAAAACACAATTGCTGTTGCTACCTTTTCTTCTTCGTTTTCAGTGATCCTAATTTGGTTTTACCAAGCAAGGAGACAGGTTTCAAAAGCCTGGGTCGAGCTTGTAATCAGAGAGCTTGGTAACAATACAATCCTAATCAACCTGTGATTTCACGTCCCCACACACTCTGCCTCGGCCTTTGATCTGTGGTCCCGAGGAGTGGAATTCAGCGAGTCATATTTGCTGTGTGGATGGCAGAGGACCCGGAGCTCAGGTGTTTTACCCTGAGGTGATTAGGAGGGAAAAAAGGAGTTGTGTTTGTGCAAACCCAGAGACACATCAAAAGGCCCTGGGCAGAGGCCGGCGCAGCGAGGCAACACAGGTGAAACTCACAGGGTGTAATTCATCACAGTCTTTGATCCTCAAGTTTTGTGAGTCACAGAGTCTCCCTGGGACAGTCTGCAAGCTCAGTGGGGTCTGGGCAGGAAGGAGAAAAACTCCAAGTGGGAAAAAAAAAGCGTGTTTTTTTTTTTTTTTTTTTTTTTTAGCAGGCGGCTGAGAGGGTAATTTTCTAGAGACGTGATTTTTGTTTGGTTGTCTCTGAGCAGCTGTGTTGTAGCTGGATCCAGGATTTCTGCAGCATGGGACAGTTTGGGGTGTGTCTTGTATCCCTGTGGCTCCTCAACCATAAGACTGCATTGAGCACCTACTGTATACAAGGAGTTATGCTAAGTATCCTTAGAGATGGGGCTTTCGTATTAATTTTTAAATCCATGGCTCTCTATGTAGCCTTTTATGGAATTGCATTTAAGTGGAGCTGCACAGGCTCTGAGACAAGAGTAACTTGGGTACAAATTCTGATCCCCCTGCGTTCCGTTTGTGTTACTTTGGGAGACGTAGTTGCCCTCTCTGTTTGGTTCTGACTGTGTACAGACTGTTTCTGGCATTCAGTTACATGATTATGCTCCTGCTTCCTTCCTCCTTTCTGCACGTAACTATCTTACTCTTGGCATGGACAGATGCATCCACCATGCCAGCATTTATCAGATATAATGTTACCACAAAGATAAGTAAGACCCAGTTTCTATCCTTATTAAGCTCTCCATCTTCATAGGAAACATTTAGTAAAACAATTTACCAAATCCAGTATGATAGGTACATATTGGTCTTAGTGCTGTGTTGAAATATGCTGATAGATATTTTATCTGAAAATTGAAGAAGGCTTCCTTTGAGAGATGATGCTTCAGAAACTGGGTTTTGAAGGATGAATAGGAGTTTACATAGGAAGAACTAAATAAACTTAGTAGTTAATATTTCTCTTTTTATTTCTTCTCTTCCTTTTGCTCTTCTCCACTTCCTCCTACCCACCCCCATTCTTCTTCTTCCCTCCTACCGCCTCCTCCTTCATATTCATATTTTATTGCTAACAAGAATAACTACCTGGAAATGTGCCCAGTAGGGAAAAGAAGACAGTGGATTTAATTAGGAAAGTTACAATTGTCTTCTCTAAACAGTCTGTTAGTTGTTTTTTTTTTAATTGAAGTATAGTTGATTTACAATATTGTGTTTCCTCTGTACAACAAAGTGAATCAGTTATACATACATACATATTCTTTTTCATATTCTCTTCCATTATTATTTATTACAGGGTTTTGTATATAGCTCCCCATGCCATACAGTAAGACCTTGTTTATTTTATATATCGTAGTTTGAATCTTCCAATCCCAAACTCCTAATTTACTCTCCATATCCCTTTTCATAACCTAAGTTTGTTTTCTAAGTCTCTTGAGTCTCTTTGTGTTTCATAAATAAGTTGGTTTGTGTCATATTTTAGATTCTACATATAGTAGATATCATATGATATTTGCCTGTGACTTAGTATGATAATATCCAGGTCCATCCATCTTGCTGCAAATGGCATTCTTTCTTTCCTTCCATGGCTGAGTAATGTTCCCAAGTGTATGCACCACAGCTTTATCCTGTCAATGGGCTCTTGGGTCTCGGCGATTGTAAATAGTTCAGCAGCATGTTAGTTTTTTACCCTCACGGCAAGTCATTCTGTTTTCAACTCTGTTCCCAGTTCACTCTGGATGCATACATTTATAACTCACTCTCCACCTGCTTCCCCTTCTCAGTGGGACTGTGAAAGGAGTCTGGATGTCCCGGGCACGTGGTGGGGCTCGCGTTGTTTTCCTCCACCTTAACTCCTCGCATCTCTCCGTGCCCACAGATGGGAAGCCGGTGTCTCTGTCCCCGCTGGAGGCCCAGCCGCACAGCCCCCGGTACACTGCATCCAGCCAGCGGGAGCGCGAGAGCCTGGAGGTGCGCGTGCGCGAGGTGGAGGAGGAGAACCGTGCCCTCCGCCGGCAGCTCAGCTTGGCCCAGGGCCGCAGCCCGTCCCACCGGCGTGGCAACCACTCTAAGACCTACTCCATGGAAGAGGGCACCGGCGACAGTGAGAATCTTCGCGCCGGCATCGTGGCGGGCAACAGCTCTGAGTGCGGGCAGCAGCCGGTGGTGGAGAAGTGCGAGGTAAGGGGCCTTGGGAAGCTTCCAAGGACCCAGCCCCCCATTGCCCACCCTGGCCCCTGGCCAGCGCCTCCTGGAAGCATGGCCAGGGGCCTCGAAAGAGCTGGCATGCTTGACTCAGGCCTGGGCGTGAATCTGGCCTGATTACTCCTTTTGCCTGGCAGATTGCTTAAGCCTCAGCCTCAGTTGTCCTCATCTGAAAAATGTGGGTAAGAAAGCCTGCACCACAGAGCTTTTAAGAGCAGCCAGTTGGTGGAAACTGCTGTTTGTTTCTTTGCAGCTCGTTTTGGCATGCTCAGAATTTCTAGCTGTCATCCTGGGGGCCCTGTTTCTTAGCCTCCAGTGGGAGTGGTGTCCCTGGCCTGCAGCCCAGGTGGGCAGTTCCCTGGACCTCATTCTCACTGTACACCCAGCTTCTGTAATTCAGAACCAGAGACTTGCTCATCTAAAGCAGTTTTTTGAACTTTGATGGCTTTCCATCATTTTCCCCCTTTTAGGGCATGCTGGCTTTCTTAGCAACTCTTCGGTCGTTTGAAAAACTTACCCACTGCCCATCCTTGCTGCCCCTCAGCCCCCTCCTTCATACATCTGTGCTTATGTGTGTGCTGAATGTGCATGAGGAGGCACACACACACACACACACACACACACATTTTCTGCTTCCCTTCCTAGTGGAGGGAAATTAGAGCATCTCTGTTGAGAGTTAGTCACTCAGTCGTGGCTGACTTTTTGAGACCCCATGGAAGCCCTCCAGGCTTCTCTGTCCATGGGAGTCTCCAGGCAAGAATACTGGAGTGGGTTGCTATGCCCTCCTCCAGGAGATCTTACCGACCCAGAGATCGAACCTGGGTCTCCTGCATTGCAGGCAGCTTCTTTACCATCTGAGCCACCAGACAAACCCCTCCTTGCTAAGAGCAAGACCTTTTGCGATAAAGAAGCCTGAGTTCATTTCCCACCTCTGTTGGCTTTTGCTGTGAGTGCTTGAACAAGTCACCTAGCCTCTCTGAACTTCAGATGTGCCTCCTCAATAAACTTTAGAAAATAACACCTGCTTCATGCAGTATTGTGAAAAGGAAGTGGGATGGCCAGAGAAAGCCACAAATGCTGTCTAGTACAGACTATGTTTTCAATTGTGGGTTATTTTTGTTATTTTTAGTTAGCTACAGGCAGGTATTACCTGATGTTTGTTTATTCCATTTCCTGACCACATTCTCATAATGTTTAGACTTTGAACTCCCTGAAGAGAAAAGAGTTTGTGAACTATAAGATGCTATTCATGTGAAGAGGGTTTTTAGTGATGTCAGTGAGACTGTGTAGTATGTCATAAGCAGATACAGGGCTTAGTTATGAAGTGATGTAGACTCAGGTCTATGCAAGGTCAGGGAGGGGATTCTAGACTATAATGGTCAGGGAGAGGACTGGAAGATTTCTTGTGGATTCTCCAGGCTGGTTGAAGTGTGGGCTGGTGGAGAGGTGGAGAAAGGTAGATGGAGGATGTCCTATGAGGATTGTGTGTGTGAGTAGGAAAAATGTGAAGCGAGACTCTGTCAAGCAAGAGAGGATTTAGGGCATGGTGAGATGGTTGATCAGGTGAGCCCAGAGAACCCGGGCAGGGAAGTGGCTGCAGTATCGTCATCATTCATCCAACAAGTATTTGTTGAGTCTCTGTTGCAGATCTCACACTGTTTTCTGTGCTAGGAAATAGCAGTGATGGGAAAAGAGACAAAATTCCCTTTCTTCTGGCTCTTACCTTCTGAGGTGGGAAGTCAGGAAGAGATGATGGACAAAAAGAGAAATTCCATTTGTTCCCAAACTCAGGTTTGTCTGCTCACCATTCAAAAGTCAATAATTTGAGAGGCAAGTATTAATAGAAAGGAAAGATGCTTTAATCCTAAATCTGGCAATCTGGGGAGAAGGTGGACTTGGGACCTGAGCCCGACTCTGAAGATTGTGCTCTGCCGTGATAGTTTTTTTTTCCTTAATAAATTTCATTTTTGTTTCACTTTGTAAAAAAATTTGTTCATTTATGTATGTATTTTTGGCTGTGCTGGGTCTTCACTGCTGTGTGCAGGTTTTTTCTAGATGCGGCCAGCAGGGACTACTTCTCCAGCTTGAATGGGCTTCTCACTGTGGTGGAGCGTGGGCTCTTAAGTGAGGGGGTCAGTAGTAGTGGCGCATAGGCTTAGTTGCCCCACAGCATGTGGAATCTTCCTGGACCAGGAATTGAGCCCATGTCCCCTGTATTGGCAACTGGATTCTTCATCAGTTGACCACCAGGGAAGTCCTGCAGGTTTTAAAGGGGAAAGGGGAGAAGGAGAGAATCTCATTGAGTCATCGAGGCAGGAAGTTGGATTCTGCATCCTTCTCCATCATGTGACTGACTCCTCCAAGTGTTATCTTGCCTGCAGGGTCCACCTGCCAGATTGCTTGGGGGTGCTGTTGGGGAGTAGAGAGCCAGCTAGTCATTTTGTTAACTTTATAATTCTTCATTCTTCCTTCTATCTAGGAAAAGAATCAGTGGGTTAGGCAAGGCATGGTATGCATTCAGGACTGCATAAGACCAGAATTATGTTAAATTGCCTAGTGATCTGCTTCCTGTAATTAGGTACTGACTGTATGCCAGGCCAAGTCTCATTTAATTGTCCACCACCATTGCCAGTGGCCTCTGTTATGGAAGATCTCTGTTTTACATCTTTGAAAATGAGCACTTAGCAACTTTAACAGTTAAATTCTCATGATCTGGGCTGATCTGGGGTGGGCCCTAACTTGGGGATCGTCTTTTCCTGCCTGAGTGAAGGCTGGTTTGATTTCTTTCAGATTCTCTGCTCTTGGCTTATGGTCCTGACATCAGTTTAGAATGTGGGCTGGCCCGGGGGAGGAAATGCTTTTCCTCGAATGTGTTTACATTATTATGACTCAGACCTACTTAAACCACTGGGTAAGATTAAGGAGGTGAAAAATAGAAAAGGAAAAAATGGGAGGGTGCAAATGTAACAGAGGGTGAAAACAGGATTCCTCTTCCTGCTGTTGCCTGTGTGGTCATTGGCTTCTTTCTCCTGCTCAGCTTTCTGAGATACACGTATCCTATTTCTAAAGAGGGCTTCTGCCCCAAGTGCCCCACAAAATAGTATGGGTGAAAGACCACTGGCTTTTTAGTCCTGCAGATAGGTTCATCTGTATCATTTTTCTAGGTTTCACATACATGTGTTGATATGTAGTATTTGTTTTTCTCTTTCTGACTTCACTCTGTATGACAGACTCTGGGTTCATCCACATCTCTGCAGATGACCCAATTTCATTCCTTTATATGTCTGAATAATATTTCACTAACGTATATATGTACCACATCTTCTTTATCCGTTCGTCTGTCAGTGGACATTGAGGTAGCTTTCATATCCTGACTGTTATAAATAGTGCTGTGATGAACACTGGGGTGCATGTGTTTTTGATGGATGAGAGGGAGATCCAGGAGGGAGGGGTTATATGTATACATGTAACTGGTTCACTTTGTCATATAGCAGAAACAAACACAACACTGTAAAACATTATAGCCCAATTTTTTTAAAAAGGCTTTCAAAGTGGGAGACAGGAGCCCAAATCTGACTCCCTTCCTACCTTGATGGTGGTGAGGCTCTGAACATTTTACATCACTCTTCTCTGTGTTGGTTTCTTTGTTTGTATGTTATGGATTAAAATCAAGTTCTTGCCTCACACTGTTTCAGTGGCAACAATGTATACTAGAACTTTTGGCAAACAGTAGCATCATTAGTTGTGTTAGTAGTTGATTTCAGTGTGGTTTATCAAACAATTCCAAGTAACAGCTACTTTGCACCTTATTTCTGTTTACATGGAGAAGTGTGGAGGCTGTTGGTGTAGGGACGTTCATATCCGGAATGCAGTCTTCCTTTATCTTTTCACCCAGCTGGCTTGGCTGGCATTCTCAAGGTCATTGCATGGCCTTTAATGACTGTCAGAGCTTCAGCTATGTCAGCCGCATCCCAGCTGGCAGGAAGGGTGAGCATATCAGCTTGCTTTAAGAACATGCATTAGAAATTTCACAGTCAGCCCCTTTTAGATCACACTGGCAGAATTTCATTTAGCTGGTACCTTTAGCTGCCACCTAGCTGCAAGGGAGCCTAGAAAACAGATTTTTTTTTTTCCCCCCCCAAGGAAACCATATTCTCTGTTAACATTTTGGAGTTCGGCTACTAGAAAGTGAAAGTGTTAGTCACTCGGTTCTGTCCAACTCTTTGTGATCCCATGGACCATAGTCTGCCAGGCTCCTCTGTCCATGGAATTCTCCAGACAAGAATACTGGAGTGGGTAGCCATTTTCTTCTCCAGGGGCTCTTTCAGACCCAGGGAACAAACGCAGGTCGCCTGCATTGCAGGCAGATTCTTTACCATCTGAGTCATCAGGGAAGCCCTTGGCTACTAGAGAACCGATATTATGGTTACAGTGAATATTCTCTGTCAAGTTAGTAGTTATCAAACTGGTTTGTACATTAGAATTACATAGCCAAACATGCATAGTCATGGAACCCATCCATCCTACTGATTGAGAATCTCTGAGAATGGGGCCCAAAATTTAAGTATTAAAATTTTGTATCCAAGTGATTCTGAGATAGTAGAAACTGTTTGGAAACTACTGCTTCCCTGGTGGCCCAGACGGTAAAAGCATCTGCCTACAATGCAGGAGACCCGGGTTCAGTCCCTGGGTCGGGAAGATCCCCTGGAGAAGGAAATGGCAACCCACTCCAGTACTCTTGCCTGGAAAATCCCATGGACGGAGGAGCCTGGTAGACTGCAGTCCATGGGATCACAAAGAGTTGGACACGACTGAGCGACTTCACTTTCACTTTCACTCTCAAAGTATGCTCTTTGAGAGATAAAGATCTTCAGCTTGTTGCTACCATAACTTATTTTTTAGTCTTTTGCACCTGAGAATTAGGTTTTCTGCATTTATTTATTGAGCACACCCCATGGCATGTGGGACCTTAGTTC